ATAGTTTGTTGTTTGAAAATTTCTAAATTATAAAAGAAATGCTAATATTTGAAAAATCTTTTTAAGTCTTTATTTAATAAATAAACAAAACTTTTCAAATAATTCTTTTGTGGATTAAATTTTTAATACAAACTATAGTATTTATTTTATCAAATATATTATTATAGTAAATATTGCATTGTGTATTGTTTATTTTAAAAATAATATTATTAATGACTGATAAAAATATACTAGATCCAATCTTATAGTAAACTCATTAAGTGAGAGTTTATTACATAAAATCATTACTTTTTACACTCAATTGGGAATACATTTTGATTAAATTCGTGAATTGTCGAGAGTTTTCAATGATTTCTCACATCTAATTTATTGAACATTTGTAGTGAATTACATTACTTCTCGGTTATACTGGGTAGTTTCAAAATAGTTTTTATCGATCAAAAAGTAAATACCAATGAAACCCCAAATATATTACAGTATAATATAATTGCATTCAATTGTTATATCAAATCTATGACTCGATTCAATGATGAAAAGTAGTATATTTTGAAAGAATAGTGAAAATTATGCTAAATTATAGCCAAAGTTATGTGTATTTGATTAACAATCGTGTTCTGGTTATGGTTTGAATACAATTCCCATACGATTCGCACTAATAATTGGCGACAAAACCTTATTCTTGTCTTAATTGAAGCGAGACTTTAACTCAAACCAAATTCCCTTATATTTAATAACTTATATATATATATAAATATATTTTTACATCAATATCATGTTTGCCTTCAAATAAAATTATCTAAATATCATATTCGTTTATTATATGTGACACTGGTATTTGTCTTTAATAAATACTCTATATTAATAATTCTATACCTTTTTTAAAAATTGATTATAATATAATATTATTGTTAAAAACTTTGTAACATAATATGTTTGACATTTTATGATATTTAACGCATACTTTTTTATCATTATTTGAAAACACGAATAATATATTTCATAAGAAATGTTATATTTAAAATCAATTATTCAATCTTTATTTAGATGTTATTAAAGCATTGAAATGACTTTTTATATGGTTTTCTTTATGTAATATTATATATGTTTTTCTAAATACCGGTAATATTAAGAAGAAATCGATTGAAACGGTAATCATTTTTGGGTTCACTGTAAAGATATCAGAGATGAGTAGAGAAAGACTTTATTACCACTTATTTTTCTAAATCTTATGATACGGCAGTATTCAATAAAACAAATATGCTTGCTTAGGAGATTCTGCTTAAAACTAAACTCTGACAAAATGCTGACAAATCAATATGTTTGCAAAAGTCTATAAACAAAACTGAACCTTGCTGCTCTATGGGCACCTCTGATATAATTAATATCAGTATCTAAAATGCATTATTTGATCTAATATTTATATTTTAGCGTTTACTCTATTTGGATGTTTTGGTAATTCAATTTCTCATTCAAATAATGCATTTTTACATCATTTCTACAAAATATGATTTCAAATCTTCAAAAAAGAAAATGAGTTTTCTTTTCAATAGGAATTATTGTCATTCATTACAACATTGAATGCATTCATGAGTTTTTGCTAAAAAGCATTACATTTACTGTAAAGGTTTGGATGAAGCACTCGATTCATACAAACATTTCATTAAAAGGTACACTATTTTCATCATTAGATTGAAGTCTTTAATTTCCAAATTGTTTTTCCTTTAATGCAATTCACAAAACGATAAAAGTCTTGTCATTTGGGCAATCATTGTAAGCAATAAATACATACATACAGTAGAATATTATACATTAAATTTTACTCTATATTACATTTATATGAAAGAATTTATTGAAAATTGAATCCAAATTTACATCAAATCAAAATACAGATAATATAATTTTTTATTTTGATAAATTTGTGGTAAAAGTGAAAAAGAAAAGCGTTTAATGTAATAATAATTAATGTTTTAATGACATCTCATTTAAAAACTTTAACTCAAAACAGGACTCCAAACGAAACGGACATAATTAGAGCGCGTAATCCAATTCATAACGAATATAATTATTCTTCGAGTCATTCGAAGCTCTGGGATAACCGGCCACTAGTGTGTCCTGACCTCCGATATAGAGAGTGTTATAGACTTTCCAATAGACATCTCTCACTTTGCGCGCGGGATGGAAGAGACCCTATGGCAGCGGACAGACAAATGGGTTATAATTAGCATATATGCGTACATGACATGAGTGGTACAGACCTGAATGGTGTACTGCAACATCTTGATGGGTCCCAACGACACCTTCAAGCCCTCGATGGCTCCCATGAAGGCCTGGACCAAGTGAGGGGAGGTCTCGAAAATGTTGGGCCAAACATAGTTCATAATGTGTGTCAACGCGTCTTCACAACCAAAACCATAGACGCCGAGAGCCATGTGCTGAATGGCGGCGCACGCGGTCTGTCTGTGGACCAAATCCCTGTCCATTAGGGCGTCCTCTAGAAGAGGAGTGATGGCATAGATGTAATCCTTTCCCATTTCGCCGATGTATTCGAAGAGAAAGGCCAATGACTTGAGGACACCGTTTTGTACATTGAGTTCTGGGACTCGATATTCATTCATAAGCGCCGGCAGAACAGTGAATGGGGAACAGGTCTCGGCCACGATAGCGATGGCCACTGTAGTGCACACCCGGTTCTGTCTCTCCTGAACGCGAAGATTGTTCAGAAGAGTGGCCAACACGTCGTGAGGACCGATAGCTTTGGCGATATAACCGAATGTGTTGACTGTAGCTCTCCTGATGGCCTTCTTGTGGGCCTTCAAGAGCTCTAATAATTCAAAGCAGATTCGCATCCATTCGCGGGCCGACACATACTCAGCGCCGCGATCGGCGATACGTCCGACCAAATCAATGCAGTTCTCCTGAACCTTCTCGTGTCTGTTCTTCAGAATGGGTGTCAATCGGGGCAACAGGTCTTTGATGGGAGGCGTCATCTTATGCATACCAATCACATTCACAATGGCCTTCAATGCACCCAATATCGAACCCAACACTTCGGGGTATTCCTCACCCAAGTATTCGTAGAGAACAACACCTAAATGTCCCATCAGTTTCTCCTCCTGACACGTCTTCATTACGATCGCAATCCTTGAGATCAGATCTGCCGCCTGTTGTCTCACTTTCGCTGACTTATTGTTTAGTCGCCACAGAATCGTACCACAAATTTGAGGCAAATATGGTTTCACTCTCTTCGCCAATGCGTTCACAATAGTTCCGAAGCCATTCAACATCACTAAGTCTTCGGTGGTCTGCTCTTGAAATGCGTACAGAATTCCATCGATGAGCTGTTCCTCGAGACGTGAGTCGATTTGTGCGGCGCCTAAGTTGGACATTATCTTCTCGATGGTCTCCATAACCATTTTACGGTAGGCCTCGTTCTCGTCCTTCAAGTCGTCCACAATTCGGTGTATGATTTCCGCGGCTTCCACTTTGTTGGCGATCTCCACAGTTGTGTCCACTAATTGCCTATAGTTTCTCCGGTCGAGTGCCATCCGATGGTTCCAGAAGTGGCGGAAAAAGTGTGGCAACACTTCGTCTTTGATATACTGGGGTTCGACACCATCTGTACCGCAACACTGTTTCACGACTTTGAGTACAATTTTCTTCATCTCTTCGTCGGGCGATTGGAACTCTCGGATCAAAATCAACATCACTTCTCGGGTATAATAGTTGGCGTATTCGGCGTCCATCAGAGGTATTAAATAACCGATGGCTTTGAGAAAAGCGGCCAAACCTTTACCCCTATGCGTGCGAATACCTTTCCATAAAGGTTTGAGCACTGAATCAAACGACTCGATGCCATAAGGAGTGGCCGCCTCAGCCAATGCGGCCAAAGCCAAGGCTGTGATTGTTCTCACTTTTTGCTGTTCGTCTACTAATCCGTGTTCTATAATCTCCACTAAACTTCTCAGATGTGGAAGAATAGCACATCCCATAAGAATAGCGATTTGCTGTACAATCTTAATGCCGGTGTGTCGGGCCTGCCATGACTTCTTGCTCTTACAGACAGCCTTCAGGAAAGGTAACAGTGAAGGGATGCCCAGCGCTGAGGCCACCACAGCAAAGGCGCGCGCAGTAGTGTTTCGCACGTATTCGTCAATGTTGTCGATGTCGGGCCTCATCGTCGAGATCATAGTCGCGAGTCCGGCAGCTTTGGCTAAATTCGATATAATCTCCCGGCCCTCCACTCGCGCGTAATAGTCCTCATCGATAAGCAAAGGCTCGATAACTACTAGTATTTTATGGACATACGGACGAACCAAATCATCCAATTTGTACAGAATTCTGTCGATCACTTTCACCAATAGATGTCTTTCTTGGTCTTCGAGTGTGGGAGACATCAGAAGAGGTAGTATTTGATTAAACAGAGGGCCGGCACCAAATTCGCGGGCCTTATCAGTGATTTGTCTGAGGGCCGACTTCCTCATAGGCGGCGTTCCGTTTTTGATTTTAAGCAAAAGTTTCATAATTTTGCGCTCTTTTTGCTCGTCCGGACTCAACGACTCTTCGTCCACATCTGTCAACAATTTGTCAAAATATTGAATGTCTTCGGGTTTAAGTGGCGGCAGATTCTGGCCCTTCGGCTCCATATCCATCATTTTGGACGACTGTTCCTCTTTCTGAATGAAGAATCCTCCGCCGCCTCCGATGCCTGACATTGGCGTCGGTGTTGCCGTCAGTTTGCGAGCCGGTGTCCT